GAAGAAGCAAAAGTTTCTCCATTATGCCGGTACACGAGGTGTCAATTCAAACTTGAGCAGGCAAAGTATTGATTAAAAACTAACCAAAGTTGGAACTGGCAACGTCACAACGTGTCCCGCCAAAAATAACCGCCACGAGCCGAGCACGCATCCCACACATGTAAACCCTAATGTATGCAGTGGTTCTGGTTCATTTATTAAATTAAATTAACAAAGCTTAACAGAATGATAAAAAATGATTTGATAATAACACTGTACATACATACATACATAATAATAATAATTTCCATTTCTCTCTCATTAAGTGAGTGCACCTTGTTTTCTAATAAAGTTATAAGCTGCCTATTAGTGTGAGAGTAAAATTATAACAAAATGAATCATTGATGATAATAACAAAATGATATACCTCATAAGTGACTAATGTATATTCATCGGCAGGTTCAGTATAAGCAAAGTCAGTCAAATAATGAAGATAAGCTCCAAGATGAGAGAGACCAGCCTTTACCACAATAAACACAACTGATGGTAGCAATACATCACAAGACAACTGCTGGATCTATGAAATGTAAAGGAGACACAGTAACTTATGGCAGCTGTTTGATAGGTTCATAAAGTGATTGTATATGTATGCACAATCAAGTGAAAATTGCTGGGTAAGGCATGATAACAAAATAATGTAGTATTATAATTCATGAAATCTACATGTATATCAATTCCTGTTAAAAATCAATTCCTGTTGAAAGTCTATAGGTTATGAGTGCATTAATACATACATTTGACAGCTGCTGAAATGCAACTCTGAAGAGGTCCAGAAATTCCCCAGGTGCATATAGCGTACTGCCAAAACAAGTAAACCAAGAAGTGAAAATTATTATACCCAAAATTATCACAACATACTTCATCCTTTGGAGTACAATAGCAGCATTCTCTAGATCCTAACAATATTGATAACAGTAAAAACAGTACACAGAGTTAATACAAACATAGCCTACCTCGAGAACAGTGTTGTCTTCTTTTCCCAAAATCGTCTTACATAAATTTCTAAAATAACAAATAAAATAACAGTCAATTAAGCAATAGCTAATTTTACTGTGGAAAATGTATAAAATGAAGAAGTCTTTCGTCGTCCATTTGAGATAGAAACTCTGTCCCTCTACTGTACTCCTTGTCATCATCAACATGATGCAATATGTATAGCATCTTCAGTGATGGATAGATACGCTGGAATACAAGTGGATGTAACAAAGTGTAGCCTATAAAACACAAAGTAGTCATTCACAACCAGTAACATACAGCTATACTTTCCATGTACATGCACTTTACAAAAAGAATATAAAAGCAGTTTATAATTCATACAGTATGTACTCAGTACTGTGTACATTGTATGTGATCCTAGGCTTTCATTATATACATGTATATTTAATATAAATAACCACAGGCTGTTTTTGGCTTCCCCTATGTATGCTTGATATAGGCTTCTCTTTCATGAATACAATAATACTCATATTACCTGAGTTAATGCAGAGGTAGTCGTCAGGGTCAGCATCACCCAATCGAGTTAACCCAATAGCAGTCACGTCCTGATCAGAACCATCCAAAAAAGGGAACAGAATCCTATCAACAGATCCAATAGTGTGTGAACACTGTCTACTAATGCATCAAGCCTGTTACCTGACAATGCTGTGAAGTCGTTTGATGATATACTGTACTTCTGATATAGCATGAGGCAGGAGGAACCTATTAGCACCAATACCGCCATAACTGTCTCTGAATACAGTCTCCAGCCTGTTCATTAGTACCCCAAGAGGATGTGAAGGTGTATTAAAAGCCTACACGCATTACACAAGCATATTAGTATATTATACTGCTTTGTATGAAGACCCT